ACTATCATTTATTTAATTAGTCCCCAATTGGTGGGCATTTAGATTTAGTTCTTTTGTTATTACGAACAGTGTTTCAGTGACACATGATATTTTAATAGTTGATTCCATTTTATTATTTATTAAACATTATATATTATATCTATTATTTATTAAAGTACCTAATTTGTCCACCACTGTTGGTTGCTTAGGTGATTTTCTAAATTTTCACTGTCATAAATAAATCTGACATAGCCTTTTTTTTTTTTTTTAGGTTTTTGCTACAGGGTGCATATACTCACCAGAGGGGGTGGGTAGGTCACCCCTTAGGGGAATGGCCTTGCCACAATCCCTTCTTCATTCTCTTGGGATTTTGGGTACATACACACACACTTCTGTGTGTTTTTAAGCCACCAGATCTAGGACTTGAACTGTACAGCCAACCATGTGGGATCCAGCCATTTTAACCATCATTAACTGGCTTGCCCAGTTTCGTTTCTTATTGATTTGTAATTATGATATTTAAGGATATTGGTCTTTTATCACTGCAAATATTTTTTTTCCAATTTGATATTTGCCTTTTATTTTTGCTTAACCTTTAGATTTGGGGGCTGGGGGTGCAGGATAGGGTAGGGAGCATGTTTTAAAAATATATGAGTCAGTCAATTGAGATTATTTATTATTTAAATATTTTCTTTTAGCTCTTACATGGTGTTTTCATTTGTCTAATTTTAAGAGTATAGTATAGAGGGGCCAGCAGGTGGTATGGTTAAGGTGCTGGGGACCCACGTGGACAACCATGGTTTGAGTCTTAGACCTGGTAGCTTGCTTTCTCACTTTCTCGCTCTCCTTCTCTCACATCTCTCTCTGGTGAACACATGTGCCCTATAGCAAATTAAAAAATAGTAATAAATGAAATTAAATGAATTTTAAAAATTAGTTAATAAATTTTTAAAAGAATTATTTTGTTTAAAGTTAGTTATTTTAATTTGACCAGAGAGAGAGAGAGAGAAAAAAAAAGAGAGAGAAGGAGAGAAAGTGAGAAAGCAAGACATCCACCAGATCTAGAACTCAAACCACAGTCAGCCCTGTGGGAGTCCACCACCCTTAGCCACAATGCCACCTGTTGGCCCCAGTGAATACTTTTTAAAAGAGTATAGTATTGAGAGAAGGATTTAACTTTATCATTTTTATCTGTCCATCTATAATTTTGTCATTGGTTAGATGTTTTTATCTTGCCAAATAATTTGCTGCTGTTTGGGCATTTTTATCATATGCCCAATATTTGGTTTTCTAGGCTTATTTCTCATATTGATTTATTTATCATATTTCATTGATTTCAAGTCATACATTATCCACATTTTAACATCTTTAAATTTGGCATTCATCGTAAAATCAACTATTGCCTGGATAGAAGTGTTCTTTCTGAGAGAATAAGCACTTTGATCTGCCAGTCACTGGGGGGCACTACCAACCTGAGTCTGCTTACACTCATTCCTCTGAGGATATTTTGGGCTATACTGGTAGTGTGAATTCAGACTGGATGGGGTGGGGTAGGGTATCAGTTCTAATATCAGAAAAAAATTTTCCCTCTTCTCAATTGTCAAGGAAACGGTATTGAAACTTCTTCATCATCCCTTTTGTATGAACGGCTGTTTATTTATTTTTTTTACTCCTCATTAAGGCTGTAGTTGTTTGATATCTCCACTTTTTGTGAGGGTCTCTGTCTCCTTTGAACTCCCTTTCCTGGGCATCTTTTCTTCTCCTGGTTTATAAAACAATCATGCATCTTACTGTTGATGGTGTTTTAGATTTAGTGAAATGTGGTGTTTTCATCATTGTAAGTTTGTGCTTTTTTACTGTCTGGCAGTACAAGTTCTCAGAATACAATAGTTTTGGCTGTTAACCCCAAATGTATTTTAAATGATTTAAGTTCCCTTGATACTCTCTTTCCTAAAAAAACAAAGCAAAATAAAACCCAGCAACGGTAATCTTAGAATTTTGATGTCACTGAATATGAGAAACTCAATAAGAACCTTTTTGTTTCACACATAATTCATTTGTTGTAATTGTTTTATTTCTTCTTATACCTGACTAAAATATACAGAAGAATTTAAGTTACAAATATTATGCTAATATCATCATAAATAATTTGCAGTATTAATAATCCTCTATACATGTTTTATACAAGCAAAAATCACTTTTGCTGATTAATTCTCTTAATGTTCATGTCCTTTTAGTCCTTTGTAATGCCAAAGGGCACTATGTGAGAGAGAAAGAACACCCCCCCCAACAAAAAAAAAAAATAGGCCTTGGACAGGCTGCAGTCCCTTTGCCCCTATTCTTCCTTCCCTTCAGGACCCTAGGCATATTTGTGTACTCATGCCCCTGGTGTAGTTTTCAAGCTGCTGGGGCTGGAATTTGACTGTGGAATCCAGCTCCATTCACATAACCTTTTAGTTGTTTTTTAGAAGTATTCTTTGAAAAGCCTTGAATTAACCTGACAGTTTTTTAAATTGAGTTTATTTTCTATACTTGCTTTGTTTTGAAGATTAGCATACTGGTTAACCTTCCTGAATGCTCCTGGTGAACTCTCTTCACTTTGGAAGTCCTATCTGAGGACTCACGCTCATATGCTGTGTTCTTTGGAGGGAGTTTGTAGTTATGTGGCCAGTAAAGTTCAGCACAACACTTACCATGTGTTCTTTAACTTAAGAAAGGAACAGTGCATTATTATTAATGTGAGTTTGTAAAGTTCACTGAGGATTCTTTTTATTTTTTTCTTTTTAAGACTTTGTCTGCAAAAATGTTCCAGTATAAATTGCGCATCACTGAGAAAATCTTCAGAGGACGTTCCCTGATTGCTCCTGTGGTGGATGACAGAACAGTGATTCATCAACTGTTGCTCTGATAGAATTCTCAGCTGTAGGGATTCATTTAAAAGGAAATACACAGAACAAAAAGACAGTGAAACAAATCATTATCATATTTTGATATTATAGATTAGGAAATGTAATTATAAAATGATGCAATGAAAAATTTTTAGATCAGTTTAATTGTATAGTTATTGTAGTTATATGTGATATCAATGAAGAAATATTTGTAGCATGCAAATGGTTATTTCTATTTCTTAAAAGACTATTGTCATTGGGCTGTTAATGACGTTGTCATTGGGCTAGTAATGACATGAGCTGTTGCATTTTTCTTTTTATTAATGCAGTATGTTCTTTTTAATTCAAGTATGGATTTCTTGAGAAACTATAGTAATATGGTTTTTAAGAAATTAATATTTTACTTAAATGTGAATTGTGGTTTTGAGCTCTCTTAATGCAGAGTCATTTGTATTTGTTAAGAGGAAGTAAACTGAGATCACTTATATTTTCAAACTGAATCTGAAGTTTTATAAAGCTGTCAAGCTATTGCTAGTTGAAGAAAGGGAAATGGCTCCTTATTTCACAATCCTGTGAAGAGTTCTCTTTGCCTTTCCACCTCTAACAGGAGAGGGGAGCAAGTGAGGGGTTTTCCATTTAGTCATCCGAGGTATCTGCAATCACCTGGTTGCTGAAGTTCCAATTAATGTGAAAACCAAAGTAGAATTCTTCTCTTTTCTTTTCTTTTTTTGCTTTGTATCAATTTGACTTATACCAAAGTGTTAGAAAATATGAAATGTATTGCTTTGAGACTATAAAGCCACCTCACAAAAAAGACTGCTCTGTAATACTCATCTTGTTTTACTAAAAATTCAGATTATCTAAATATTTTCTTAATAGTAAATGGGAATGCTGATTTTCTTCTTTTGTTATGTAGTAGCAACATTTTACATTGTTTACATAGTTCTCATGGAACATGGCATTTTTGAAAGCAACATATGATACACATTTTTTGTGTATATATTCCAGTTAGTGTGAATAAAGCAGTAACATCAATGTACTTTTTTAAGCAGTAAACTTATGTATTTCTCATCTTCCTTAAAAGTATTCCTGTGAATTTGGTATTCAGTACCTTTTCATTCCTCTTACATAGTTAATAAACAACGTTAGCATTTGCTCCCAATAATAGAATTTGAATAGTAAAATTGTATAACTGCAATCGACCCCAGACAACATATCTTCCAACTACCTCATTCTCTAACAGGACAGGACAATAAATGCCTTTCCCAGTTTCCTTAATTCACCTTTGGCCTTCATTTCTCTACACCAGGACTACTATTTTCCACTTAATTGTCACTCAGCTTCCCAATACTGATTAGATAAAGAAAAATAAGGGTTATTTATGTATGTTTTAATAAAATCAAGTTTGATTTTCAACTTTCAACTGGTTTTGTTTATAGCATTCAGCCTGTCTTTTGAGTAACGGGCAGAAGAGAAGAGAAGGGGCACTTGGACTAATGTCCATATAAGAAACATGTGTCTGAAATTTTGCCATTCCACCTTCCTACTTGGGGAAATAGAGCTAGAATTTTTTGGTGACTGTACCTGTGGATTTGTATCTATATTACTATTCAGACTCTGAGAAAACAAAGAAAACCCATCAAATCAGTAAGTCCCCTGTGGGCAGAGTTAGGTATTTATTAACATGTCGTTCACTATAGTAACCACTGTCTCTAGCACAGAGTTTTGCCACATAACAAGGCACATGCCAAGTACTCATCAAAAAGTGAATTTTAGAAATCAAAAAGGACCAGCAGATGGCATAGCAGTTATGTCGCTTTGAATTCCAGGCCTGGTGGCTTCAGACTCACACTGGGCATGTGTGCATGCATGACCAAGATCCTAGATGGAGAATGGAGAAGAAAGGATTGCAGAGTGGCCATCCCCCCAGACGGCGATTTCTCTTTTTCTGTCTCTGTCTCTCTGGTGAGTGCATGTACCCTATAGCAAAATTCTCTCTCAAAAAAAAAAAAAAAATTAAAAATAGAAGAAGAGACAGCAGAAAACCATCCAGATCAGTGGTTTGCAAATTTTTAAAAAGCATCAGAGGGACTGGCAGGTGGCGTGGTGGTTAAAGGAAACAAGGAAACCACAGATAAAATAGATTTTTGAGGTAACTATATTATTGGAGTGGTGTGATCTACTGTGTATATAGGGCCTTGAAAAATGAGAAAGTTACTACTGTCCTCACAGGGATGATCATGTTTGAAGTAGTAACCCACAACATTTGATCTGACTATACAAGTACTGGATATCAGGGTTGTTGCAGAAAATTCAGGATGGTTGGCCTTGGTATTTATATACTATAGTTTTAGGTTTTATGATGAGGCATCTAACTACCTTAGTGTTTACCTAGCAACTTTTTGATGGCAACCCAGTTATCCATGTAAATTTTGCCACTTTAGAAAAGGACGAATTTAACTGCAGACATTGAATGTTTGATTTTCCAGCAAATTCCAACTCTGATTGTAAGTTGCCATTGTGGTTTAGAATGAGTCAGTTCCCCAGAGCTCTGGGGACTTTGAAGGAGTTGGTAGAATTGTTTCTTTATGAGCTGAGGTGCTGACATTGAGTTCCTGCTGTTGATCATCTCCTTGCAGTAAGATGGGTTGTCAGCTGACTTGTCTCCTTGATGTATTTATAATTTTTAACAGATTCTCAGTCTTGTCCTAGTATTTAACTTCTAAACCGAGCTTACCAAAAAGCCGAACAAGAGCTCTAGTGTCTACCTGTCTTCATTTGTGTCCAAGCTCTACCTCTTAGGTATGAATCCTTGTGTAAGGTTTTTATCCCCTAGACTCAGCATCATTTTGTTTTGTTTTCCTTTTGGTCAATTTTCCTCATGAAATTCCTCAACCTCATAGAAGAGTTGTGAGGATTAAATGAAAATAGAGTAAAGTGCATATAACAGTGCATAAAACACAGCACTCACAGTGTTAGCTAATTATTACTATTGTTACTGTTTTTTTCCCATGAGCACTTGGATCGAGTGAAGACTCAGGTCTTTGTTATCAGATCACTGCTGCTTCCTGTCCTTTCTGGGTAGCACTTGATGCCTATTGGGCTTCTTATAGGCAGAGAGAGGCTTAGAACCTACTCACAGCTGGGCCTTGATGTCTGCATGTGTCAGGGTTGTGCAAGCCTGGAGTAAGTGCAGTTGTTGGAAAGGAGGGCGAGGAGCTGTGCAACCAGTTGGTGGACTGGGTGGACGTGAGGGATAGTAATGTTTGCTGCCTGTCTTCATGCAGGTCAGTGGGGCTCTTAGCACCTTTGGGGGACCAGCAGTTAGCCTAATGGCTATGTTGCTGGACTCCCATGTAGTCGACTGCGGTTCGCGTCCTGGACCCGGTGGCTTAAGACTCACGCAGGGCGTGTGTGTGTGTGTGCCCAAGATCCTGAGAGGAGAATGGAAGAGAAGGGATTGTGGCATGGCCATCCCCCCTGGGGGGTGATTTTTCGCTTTCTGTCTCTATGTCTCTCTCTGTCTGTCTGGCGAGTGCATGTGCCCTATAGCAAAAACCTCTCAAAAAAAAAAAATTAAAAAAAAAAAGCACCTTTGGGTAATTTCTGTGTGCCTTGAGTATCTAAACTCATTTTGGGATAAGGATCAAGGAGACACTTTTTTTCCTTCCTAAATTCTTCCCTCTTTTCTTGCTGATACTTATTTTCCTGCTTTAAAACATCAACTCGATTGTACATTTTCCCAAATATATTGGCCCCTCTGAGCACTTTGAAAATAACTTTAGCGTGGGAGGGTGCACAGTGGTAAGAGGGGATGCTCCCATGAGGCCAACCCACATGGGAAGGTTCCAGGTTTGTGTTTGGAAACTTCCCTAGTACGCTGGGCCCATGTGTGCCGGTGATCTGGGGTTGGCAGAAGTTGGGGGTAGATGTAGTATCAAGATCTTGTTGGGAGTGCTGTTTCTGTATCTCTCTGTCTTGTTTGCTCATGGGAGAGATACATAAATAAACTTAAAAAATAAACAAAAATACATATTGTTGTTAACATTACTGGGAGCTCATGAATGAATGTAGGCTCTTCATTTAATACTTCCTTCTTTCAGTTTTGGATCAAGCAAAATGAGTTTAAGTTGTGTCATTTTAAATATTAAACTACCACAACAAATATTCAATCTATGCAGTTGTTTGACAACATCTAAAACATACCCGGAATTGTCAAAGACAGACATGAGATAGGAGGCAAAGGCTGTTGATTTTGTTAGTGGGTGTGCTACAGGTCATGTACATGGATAAGTGAATTGATATACTTGGAGTGACTCACCATATTTGTCTTTCATTTTTTGTATTAAAGAGTGATTTTTTAAAAGACCTTATTATGGAATTTTTACACATACTTAAAAATATGAAGAAGAGCATAATGAATTCCCAGGTGCCTTTCTCCTAGCTCAGTAGTGGTGCCAGGGACCTGTAACATGGTTAAGTAGGGTGTCACAGTGAAGAGGAGGGAAAGGAAGACCCTTGGGAAGAAGTGAGGTGGGAGAGAGCATCATACACTTGAACAACTGAAGAAATTAAGATGTGCTTGAAATGCACAAAGCTGTGTATGATTTTCATTAAACAATTTTTAAAGAAGACATTTCTAATGGTGCTTTTCTTTCTGTGCCCACTTAATATCATTTACTCTTGTTGAAACTGGATCATAGTTTAGAATATTGGAAAGTGCTTGCTACCAGCTATGATGTATGCCTTTTCTGTGCATCTCAAAACCTGTATCCTGCGGCCAGCAGGTGGCATGATAGTTGGGGTGCTGGACTCCCATAAGGCTGACTGTGGTTCAAGTCCCAGAACTGGCAGCTTGTTTTCTCGGCTTCCTCCCACCCTATCTCTCTCATGAATTAAAAAAATAAGTAAAAATTGAATGGATAATTCTTTTTAAAAAACAAGAAAACCTATGTCCCAGCTGTTTGAGTCTTATTTGCTTTTCTCTCCAGGGTATATAGGGTGTATGCACTCACTAGAAAAGACAGAGAAAATGGGAAAATAACCCCTGATGGTGTGTGATTATGCCGCACACAATTTGTGCTCCATTTCTGTACCCTGTTGGGATTTTGGGCACACATGGGTACACATCTGGCATGGTTTTTTTTGTTTTTCTTTTGGGGAGAGGTTTTTGCTATAGGGCACTTGCACTCTCCAGAAAGACAGAGAGAAACAGAGAGACAGAAAGTGAGAAATCACCCCACAGGGGGGATGGCCATGCCACAATTCCTTCTCCTCCATTCTCCTCTTGGGATCTTGGGCACACATGGACATGCGCCTGGTGTGAGTTTAAGCCACCAGGTCCGGGACTCGAACTGCAGTCGACTACATGGGAGTCCAGTGACATAGCCATTATGCTAACTGCTGGTCCTACATCTGGCATGTTTTTCAAGCCGCTGGAGTTTGAACTGTGGCCAACCATGTGGAATCTGGCCTCCTAACCACTAGGCAATGTGGCTGGTCCTCCAGGGCAGTGGTCCTCAACCTTCCCAGCACCAGGATCTGGCCTCGTGGAAGACAATCCCTCCACGGACAGGGGGTGGGCTGTTGATCTTGGAATGACTCAAGTGCACCACATTCAATTATGCACCCCTTTTCTGCTATGAGTACATTGCAACAGACAATGAACAATCACAGCAACATAGGGTTTGTGCTCCAATGAGACTCCAGTACTGGTGCTGCTGAGAGAGAGAGAGAGAGAGAGAGAGAGAGAAATCAGCCACCACCTCCCTGGGGTCAGGGGGAGGTAGCTACTTCACAATCCCTTCTCTTCCATTCTCTTCTTGAGATTTTGGGCATGCACACACACACACATGCCTGGAATGTTTTTCAAGCTGCCAGGTCTGGGACTCAAACTGCACAGTTGACCACGTGGGATCCAGTCACCTTAACCACGTCACCACTTGATCTGGTCTTGAATTTTTAAAAAAGTTTACTTCTTGAGAAAGAAAGAGACAGTGTGTACCCTAGATGGAGTCTTACCGTACTGTGATCCTTCTCCGAGCCAATCAGGATCCCTGGCACGCACGGATATGCCTGGCATGTTCAGGCCAACCCAGGATCTGAACCTGGGGTTGTCCTATGTCTCCAGTATGCAGTACTGCCTTTCCTTTGCCAATGGTGCTGAGCCTTGCAATTTTCCTGTTAGATTTTTCTATAAAATCAAAACATTGTTTTGGTAGATGGCACCTGCTCTTGCCTGAGAGAGATGGAGAAAGGAAGTGAAAAAGCATCTTCCATGGGCAATGGTCACACCACAATCCCTTCATCTCTCACTCCTTTCAGGTTTTGGGCATGCATGCACATGGACCTAGTGTGTTTCTCAGGCTGCTTGGGTCCAGGACTCAAACTGCTCAAACTGCACAATCGTCCATGTG